AATGAGCATGGGCACCCCCCTTTTTTATTTCAAAATTGAAGTTATCATATGACAAATATTCAGTGGACAAAGTTTGAACAAAAATCTATTGTCACTTTAATTTCAGAGGAATTACCTTAAAACAAATTGTGCCATCCTGACGTCACATATCCGCGCGGATCCGCGCACATGTCAGGGGCTCTCGCGTGGATGTTGTCACGTTGCGTGATCAAATGATGAGAGTTGCGAGATTATCTTACAGATTTTTCACAGCGATGGCAGGAAATAAGGCAGGGAATAAGAACCAGGGCTCTCATATGTAGTTTCAAACGCTGAGCCAATGGAAAGGGTGAGTTTTTCAAACATGACTTCGATTTCGCGCTGTGAATGAATAATATCTGCTCGCGCTAGTTGTACGCATAAGCTTTCGCGTTTGTTCTGTAAAGAAAAGTTATGTAAGAAAACTCTTTACTCTGGTATCGAGTTAATTTGTGAGTTTCCCAAACAATGCTTAATCATAACCAAACCCTGTTTTGAAAGTTTCTTACTGTTTCTGTTTATTTGGCCAGTTTGCAAAAGTTTTTGAAAGCAAAGTCTGACGCGTAAATTAAGTAGCTCATTTGCATAGTGCAGCGCGTGCACTTTCAAATTTGACTAAATCTTGACAAAGATTTCTTTTGTTGTCTTTTGTGCCGAGATGCTGCAACAATTTTCACCAATTAACGCCCAAGGCTACTAAAATCATGTGTACACTGCGAAAATAAAATAGACAATGAGTTTTCGATAACTCAACCAACAAAATCGAAATCGTTCTTCGAGTTGTTTAAAGAAAGCTTCATCGTAATTTTGCTGATTATTTCTGTTTTATTCATATATTTCCAGCTAAGCTTTCAATATGTTCTCAAACATTTATCAACCTTAAATATATTTAAAAACTATAGATATTATATGAGTTCGATGTACGTTTTCACACGAATGTGCGGAAGTCCAATTTGTCATGTTTTACTGACTGTACAAAACACGCATCGGCGGACGCTCTTATTCATCGACAACAGACGATTCATTGGATTTTTACATAAACAAAACTGAGCAGCATCTACACACATAAACTTTATTGTCACTTACTGGGCCTTGATAAAACATCAAGCGTTGCTTACAATTCAGGCGAAACTTAAACTTGCAATTATATTTTTTTTACCTCTCGATCGAGATAGACTCTGGCGAGATCCCCGCAAGCGTGTGACATGAAGAGGGACCCTTTGAAGTCCTGAAACGCTGCTATATCCAAATATCCAACTAGTTTTCTGCTGTGTTTTGGAAAAGCTGTTAATCTTCAACATATGTGAAACCTAGAGTGGAGTAATGTGGAGCTCTTGTAAAGGAAACAGCGGAACACAACTTGGTCAGTGATATCATAAAGCGGCACATAACTAAATTCGACACTGTCTTACCTCACTGAGATTGGCGCAGCTTACAACGAAAATACTCAGGCAAAATTCCAACAGACATGAACGTATTGAGTCGTGGACCAAAAATATCAAAAATTTCGGGAATTCTCCCGCGCTACATCCGCAAAAATCCTCGCAGCATGTACGCGCGTGTGCCGCACGCGATGGCACAATTTGTTCTAAAAATACAAAATTGTCCCATATCATAGGGACAGTTCCAATACTAGAAATGGCGCACGCTTACGGTCTCCGTCCCCGATTATGGCTCCTGTTGTAAGTGATGTTTGTAAGTTAGCAAAAAAATGGGGAGAGGGGGAAGCTTGGAAGGAGGAGCTTTCTAAACTACCTTCAGAGGAGCGCTTGTTACAAAGAAAGAGGAAACCTTAGTTCAAATCTCTAATCTCCCTGGACACATAAAATAGGCGCCCAAACAACGAAACATTGTTTCCTTCAATGTTTCCCTGTTTGCGCACACACAGCAATTTTGTCTTAATTGTTTTCAAACACAATTTGTTACCGCAAAAAAAAGTTCCCAGGTTGCCTAAACTGAAAAGACAAACCAAAAAAACAAAACAGACAAACAAAAAATTCGAAAGCGAAAGTTTGGGCGACCGTGTTTTGCCGTTTATGAGGTCTTCCAATTCTAGGCATATAGTTAGTTTGCTGAAACAATTGTTTCTTGTTTAGAATTTGCCTTTGCTAGGCATCTTGGGAATGTGCAGGAAAGATGGTGATTGGTTGTCGACTGGGGACTCGCCAAACGAGGGCGTAATAGTGAGTTTGTGACGGGTGGGGTAGGGAGGGGGGAGGGAAGATACTTATAAATGATATTTTACGTCAATTTATGTTTCAAGCTACATTTCAAACCCACCATAGTAAATTCCATAGACAATCGCAGACGCTATGAATGCTCCTGACAACTGCGCTAGCCAGTATACGGGAACTTTAACCCACTCCAGTCGTCGCACCACGGCAAAGGCCAGTGTTACGGCGGGATTCATATGCGCGCCTTTTTAAAAGGAAAGAGAACTACACGTGAAAAATGTCATCAATATTTGCCCAATAATTATTCGCACGTTAAACGAAGGTTAGCTTAGGAACGTATATGCGCAGACAAATGTCTGCTTTCGCATTCACACGCTAAACGAAGGCGTGCTTGGTACACGTTAAAATAAAAGAATTCAGAAGCTCACCTGATATACCCCCTGCCCAATAACAGCCAAGTGTAACCCCGATGCCCCAGCTGAAATTTACCGAAAAGAAGGTTCCATTTTTACCTCGGCTGAGAACCATTTGAGCGATGGAGGCTACGCCGAATGTCTAGAACAAAAGAAAGCACGGAAAAAAAAAACGGTTAGTAATATGTTCGTGACTTTTTCCCGCCAATTGGGAACATGAACAAAAACAAAAGCTCAGTCCAGTAATTTTCGCGGCCGGAAAACTAACACAAAACGCGACATGTCCCATCCACACTACGCTAAGGAGGTGCGGTGGCCTCATGGTTAGTGCGCTCGTCTCCGGATCGAGCGGTCCGGGTTCGAGCCCTGGCCGGGGACATTGTGTTCTTGGGCAAGATACTTAACTCTCCGCCTCGATCTCTCCACCCAGGCGTATAAATGGGTACCGGCGTAAACTTGCGATGTATCGTCCCTTCCATGGAGAGCAGAAACACTCCTGGTCGCTCTATACGAAGAAATTTGAAAACGCCAGCTTTATTTCTACGGTAATGGGCTTACAGTCCACACTAATCCGTCACCAAAAAGGAGCTTTTCAAAAACGGCCTTCAAATTGGAGGAGTTTGAAAACGCCGTCAGTGTGGACGGAAAACATTCTGAAAACGTTCTGAAAACGGAGCTATTCAAAATCGATGACGTCACGATAATCTTGTGATTTCCCTGATCGATTTTTCCACAAACATAAATCCAAAACGACCGATGATTATACAAAGATTTAAAACGCACGCGCGTGGCCATTGTACTGCTCATTAAACCCTTTTGTTTGGTGACGTTCCTCGTTGCCGTTGCCGTCGTGGTGTGCTTGAGCCCTACTGAAAATGCCGCAGGAAATTCAAGAAATAGCAAACTGCCTCAAAGTGGAACTATATACGTCAACAAAATTACAGTGAAAGTCGTTACAAACCACTAGGATGAATGTAGCCATAAACTCAGCCAGTGCTTCTCTCAGTAAGGGAGGCAGCCGGCCTCGTAATCTGGTTGCCATGGTAGATCAATGTGGGTATCTGTATTTTAAACGACATAGCAGTTAATTTATGCAAATACATTAGCAAGTTTGAAGTTCAGCTGGGAAGTTATCCGCTGGACGTGAATGGTTTACACGCGTAAAATAAAATACAGCAAATGTGCGGAAGGCTTGCGCCAAGAGAAGAGCTGAACGACCAACCTGTTCAATACGAAAATGATGATCAATTAAACCAACCGAAAACGTGAGTCGTGCTCACTCATCCCTGGAAAACGAAGCTTTCGAAACGAAGCCAAACATTTAGCTTTGGCACGTTACCAGTTTGAGAAACATTTGCACAAAGCTTTGTTCTTTTTCAGAAGTGAAGAAAAGTGTCATAGGTAACATTTGCGCTTTTCAGTCTTCACTGCGCAGTGAAGCCATCTGTTATACAGCTAGGGGTCTTATAAATGTGATATTTTCAAAGGCGCATTAGGGACCGTTCATTTTTTATAAGGTAGGGGGGGCTGGTGGGACTTGGGGGGGGGGCATGCGAAAAAAAATGGCTTTCGAGGGGGGGCCATCCCAAAAAAATAAGGGAAAAAGGGGG